CACAGACGTGTGGTTCCAGCTGGGTGGCGCCCTGGGGCCCAGTGCCAGCCACGGAGATAAGCGGAAGTAGAGGTGACAGCAGACTCATAGCAGCCGCCCTGCTGGCGGCTCCTGAACCTATGGATGTGGCCCAGGCGAGCGTATGGCTGCCGTGGAGAGAGTTACAAGTGAAAAAGTGGAGGGATTTCCCCACAAGGTGTGGTGGTGTCTGAAAAAAATAACAAAAACAACAACAACAACAAAAAGCTACTATTAGAACTTTCCAGAGAGCTCGGAGCAAGGATGATGAGGGTGCTCCCCCGCCTGGAACTGAGTGGTTAGGGATGTAGTCGTATCATTTCAGGTTTTTGTTATTGTTTTATGGCTCCTTGGGCCACAGCCAGCAATACTCAGGACTTATTCCCAGCTACGTGCTCAGGGATCACTCTTGGCAGTGCTCAGGGACCAGATATGAAACCAAACTGGGGTCAGCCCTATGCAAAGAAAGTACCTAAACAATTTTACTATCTCTCCAACCTGGCACCTCCTGGCTTGATTTCAGAATTTATTAAAAATCAGGTTCCAGAAGCTTCCACTGCCTTTTTGCTCTGGTTCTCAGCTGTGGTGGATTTGATCCCATCCCAGAGACCAGTTGGGGAACCTGCACTGTTCCCATGGTCATCTTAGTCATCTTGCCTCTCTGGGTCCAGAACTAGTTTTTGGGAAACATTAGCGCAGTGAAGGCCTTCCTTTGGGACTGCAATTAAGAACTCTGCTCTTTCAAAAGAGAAAAGCCGGGGCCAGGCCGGTACAAGTTTCCAACTGAGCAAAGTTTCAAAAAATAGTTGAAACATGAGGTCTGCTCACTCAGGATGCTCACCTCTCCTTGTCCACGGTTTCTAGAGAGAAGCAGAAATACCACTCCAGGAATTGGGCCTCCACAAATCCACCACACACACACAGACACACACACAGACACACACACACACACACACACACACACACATCCTTATCCTTCCAGGGATTCCTGAGGCCCTCCTGGCAGCTGATTTCCCCCCCAGTTCCACAGCCCTGAGCTGGCTCCACTTTAAATAGTTTACAAAATGCTTGAGATGAACTGTCTTCGACTAGGATGGGATTTCACATGCTGTTATTTTTCATGCTTTTCATCTTTTTCTCTTTCTGTCTTTTTTCCTTTTTTTTTCTTTTAGGGCATACCTGATGGTTCTCAGGACTTACTCCAGGTCAGGGATCAATCCTGGCAGGGCTCAGAGGTCCATATGTGAATTGAACTGTGGACTGAACTCAGGTGAAGTGCATGCAAGGCTAGTGTCCTCCCTGCTACTCTCTCTCTCTCTCTCTCTCTCTCTCTCTCTCTCTCTCTCTCTCTGCCTGCCATCTCATCGTTTTCTTTAGGTGTTTCCGACACAGTCACTAGTAAGGTTGGCATGCAGTCACCAGTAAGGTTGGTTGTGCGGTGCATGTATTGAGATGGGAATATCATGGCAATACTAGACTGTGTGCAACTGACACCTTATGCTTCAGTTATCCTTATTCATTGCTGCACTCAGTACAATAGCCGAGATATGGAAGTAGCCTGGGTTCCAGTGACAGATGAACGGGTCATGAAGTTGTGGGGTATAGACACAGTGGAACACTAGGCAGCTGCAAGGAGAGATGAAATCACACAATTTGCCGCAACCTGGTTGGAACTGGAAGATATCATGTTGAATAAAGTAAAGCCAGAAGAAGAAAAACACAGGATGATCTCACTTATCTGTGGTATAGAGAATAACGGGTGAGGAAATGTATTGTCGTAAAAGGGGGGATGCCAATATCACCCTTGACCCCAGTGTTTAGAGAGGAGAAGGACAGAGAAGGAAAGAAATCAATAGGGGAGGAAGAGAATGAGAAGTAATGGGTGAAGAGGCAGTGGGGTTCAGTTATCGTGGTGATATGGGGGAGTGGTATAGCCGTATCTCCGAAGCCCAGACTCAGCAACACTGAAAACGAGATCGAAACTGCACCCACTGAAACTCTGTAATGTGCTTGTCAAGTTGGCAGGTGGGGGTAGGGTGGGGGCTGGGGTGGGGAAGGATTATGGGGACACTGGTGGAGGGAAGTTGATCCCATGGTGGGATTGGCGTTGAATATTATATGCCTAAAACTCAAATATCACTAACCTTGAAACTCACAGTTCTTTAATGAGAAGAAAATGGTGAGGGCAGTAGAATATGCTCAATTGACACCCTCCTTGTGGGAAATACAGTCATGGCCCTCACCCCCACCTCTAGGACCAGCACCTGCATTTCAGCAAGCTCGAACCCTCTGTGGGCTTGGCGGTCTCTGACATCTGCTCCTTCCATCAGCTCAGGGGGAGTGAGGTCGTTCTCCAACTCACAAGCTCTCTCCCCCAAAGGGGTTGTTGCCAACAGATCTTCCCACGTGGGCCCCTTCCAGGTACTGCCCTCCTTTACCAAGAGCCGCTCCACCTGCCGGGGCTGCTCACTTCCTCTTGGGCTGACCTCAGTGCCCTGTCTGCTGCATAGCCCTTCCTTCCGGGTACTCGCCCTCCCCTGCCCTCCTTCTGCTTCCTCCATGGAGCTCCCTCACAAAAATAACTTGGTCCAGGGGCTGGAGAGGTAGTCCAAGTGGGAAGGGCGCTTGCTTTGCTCTGCTTGTGGCCGACCCAGGTTCAATCCCTGGCATCCCATGGAACCCCACCAGGAGAGATCCCTGAGTGCAGAGCGAGGAGTAAATCCTGAGCACTGCCCACTATGGCTCCCCAAACTCAACTATACTTAACCACGATAATCTGGTTTAATGCAACTTCTGTGCCAGCTGGGGGGTGAGGGTGGTGATGGACAGACCTGGCTGCCCCAGTGAGGGGGTCTGCCTCTCGGACTCCCCTCTATGCTCAGACTGCCCACACTCCCCTCACTAACTTCCTGTTGCCCCCAAGAACTTTAGAAGCCCTCCAGGGTATCACAACCTTTGCTAGCACCTCTGTGTGACTTACCCATTGTCCCTTCCTGGCCTCCAGCATACACTAGACCTTGGCTGACTGACTCAGGGAGAGCTTTCTAGAAACTTCCTCCCTCCCCCAGGGTCCTATTCCATTCTCTCCAACATCATTCCAGGCAGTACTTAAAGTAGAATGGACTAGCTCCTCTCCTAAAAAACAAAGCAGAAAGAAATCAGGTCCCAGGCTGGCTCTGAACACACACTGGCCTCCAGCTATGACCCCATATTTCCACTCTATTTTAGAGCAAGACTTTGTGAGGAAAGTAGCTCTTTCTAGAACCCCATTTTTATTTTTTTCTTCTTTCTTTCTTTCTCTTTCTTTCTTTCTTTCTTTCTTTCTTTCTCCTTCCTTTTTTATTATTTCTATAACCCCATTTTCTCTCTTCTTCCTTCTTTTTTTCTAGAACCCCCTTCCTTTCCTCCTTCCTTCTTTCCATCCATCCTTCCTCCCTTCCTTCCTCCCTTCCTTCCTTCCTTCCTTCCTTCCTTCCTTCCTTCCATCCTTCCTTCCCCCCTTCCTCCCTTTCTTCCTTTCTTTGTTCCTTCCTTTCTTTTCTTCCCTTTTGGGACCACACCCATCAGTGCTTGAAGCTTACTCCTGGCTCTGTGTTCAGGGATGACTCCTGCTGGTGCTCAGTGGAGCACATGCAGTGCCAGGGATAGAAGTGGGGTTCGGCAAGGCAAGCATAGGGAGTCTCATTCTTCCTAGAGCTTGCACAAACCAGGCTTTCCCACCTGCCTCTACCCAAAGCCATTAGCTTCCTCTGTAGTACAGAGCCCAGTGCCAGACAAGCTCCACGAACCTTACTTGAATTCTGAGCCACATGGCTGCATCCTCCCCTGGGTGCATGATCTCCTGGTTCTCAACCCCACATCTCCACTCTCTTTGCCATCCCCTGACAGCTCAATCTTGGGGCCTGTCAGTTCATCCTTCTTGTACCCAGCAGATACTTGAAAATGCCTGTTAAGTTACAAATTAAAAAGGAAGCAAGACAAACAGATGCACGTGGCTTTGTTTCTGTGTAGCAAGCTCCATTGCTAGAAGTTGCAGGGAGTTAACTGTTCATCTTCCTAAGCCCAGAGCACTGTGTTAGCATAGCATGGGTTTGGGCAGATGAGGTATCTAGGAGCCCACCCATGAGGCATGAAATAGCAAGTGGAACCTGTGGGAGCTGGATTGAACCCAGGCAGTGACTCCTACTAACCTAGTTCCTTCCATCATTTTCTCTCTTTTCTTTACAAAACAAACCAGTCATAGCTGGTATTGACCTGTTTGGGGCTTCATCCTGCAGTGCTTGGAGTTGCTTTCAGCAGTGTTCACGGGCCTAAGCGGTGCTGGGATTCGAATCTGGGCCTCTTGCACGCAATGCATGCCCTCCACCTGCTGAGCAATCTCTCAAGAGGTTTTCTGTAGATCGCAAGCCAAAAAAAAAAAAAAAAAAAGAATAGATCAGTCTCCACGCTTTGGGCCGAAATAAAACTTTGTTAAGAGTTGAAGAGGTGGGTGGAGTTCATGCATCAGGGGCTGAATAAATAGCAGTACTCCTCATTAAAAAAAAAAAAGAGAGAGAGAGAAAAAAAAGAAGAGTTGAATTGGAAGTGGAAAGTTAGCACATGATTCCACTGGGAAGAGAGCATCTGCCAGAAACACAAAGAAAGAATGAGGCGATGCGAGCATCCACCACCAAGCGGCAGGTGAAGCCTCCCGGCCCTCCCCGCCCCCCTCCCCCCCAGCCCCTACGTCACTCTCGACAGGGCTGCAGGCGCCCCCTGAGTCCGCCCGGACGCGCGGGGGCGCCCGAGGCCGCGGGGGCGGGGCGGGGCGCGGCGCGGCGCCGCCCGACGTCGCGCCCTCGGCGGCTGCGCAGTGCGCGCGTCCCAGCCGGGCTCAGGCCGGGAGCGGAGAGCGCCGAGCGGGGAGCGGCGCGGCCTGAGGGACCGCGAGGGGAGCTCCGGGGGCCGGGCGCGGGCGAGGGCGAGGGCGCGGGCGGAGGCGA